AAGCCCTAACTGGAGTTCCGAGAACAGAGTAAGAGCCAGCAGAACAAATTACGACATAGCAGTGGTGGTAGGAGTGCAGGATGTTTCGGTGGATGTACAAGTGCTCTCCGTTGCCGTGCACTCCGTATCCGTCATCGTAGCTACACAAGCTGTCTCTGTCGCTGTACAGGCTGTTTCCGTGCATGCTGTTCGTGTAGATGTACATGCTGTGACTGTGCAAGATGTAGCTGTGCACTCGCTTACTGTTGGCCGGGGACGTTGATGTAGGAGGTTGCGGTGATGGTTGCGGTTGGGGGGCTGTGAGGGTATTAGCCTAGTTAGTGAAACAGAGGTAGAGAATTGAAGGGATAGTACGCGATCTTCTACCACCACCTTGGAGGGGAGGTTGCATTGGCCTGGTTTGGGGGTGGACCAAAAAAACCAAGGGGGCGGGGCGCCGAGGAATACTTGGATGAGGGAGGTCCAGCAGAGAGCTTGGACGAGCGGGAAGAGGATATTAAGAAGGATAAAGAATATTTGGAATTTCATTTGTTGATAGGAGGAATGAGACTGAAAAAAAAGTGTTATTTTTGTAGTTGTAAATGATAGTCTGGGGGGCCTCGAGTAGTGATATGGCGAGGCGAGAGTCCAAGTGCAATGAATTCGTCAGAGGGGAATCTAGTTAGTTTTTGAAAGAGGGGGTAACTTTGTGAAACATTGTTGTGGTTAAGGAAAACATCGTGCTCGATCCCCTGTGTTCATGTAAGACTACCGATCATGATATTTGAAATTGGCGCGAAATCCTTACGCCTTGATCCTCTGTCACAGGCGTAGGACTATCCTCTATATCGGGCGGAAACTTTCACATCAATTGGTAAAGTCAAAAGAGCTTCATTTACGTGGTAATTCGATGTTGAAAACTGCCCCTTTTCAATTCGCTTAAGCTTGGCCAGCAACATCTCGCCATTCCGGCAGTTGGAAACGCTTGAGAGCGAGCCACCGTGGTACCATTCGAGATTACAGTTATTTCCAAGAATTCCAATACATCACCATCTCTTTCTTTAATTATTGCCGTTGTCCTCTTGAAGTGTTGCTGGGCCCTCGTTCTATCTGGGTGAGCCGAGGCTCGCTAAGATATGAAGATCAGCAGGAGTGTTTGTTGTGTGCGGCGTCATTAACACAAATAATAAGGTGTGGCCCCAAAACACTAAAAAGAAAACTAATCTTTGAGTGTCTACCGCAGATCTCAGCTTTGGCGATGCAACAAATCTTCAATCTGCCTTCTATGTTGGCCACGTAGTCTCGCATGTGCCATTCCATTGCGGTTATGTGTCTGTTGTTTCTGTGTGCGTCGGCTTACTAGATTCACCAAATTTAGCAGTGCGTAAGAGGGTATAATTCACCACAAAAAGAGGTCGTTCCTATTCCTTCCTTTCCCTCATCCTTTTCCTCTGTTCCGACGTCAAGCTCTCAAATGATCACATTATCTAAAATGTCTGTACACAAATCTCTCTTCATTTTCTCCTTCCTAGCTTTGCGGCCCATAGGAGCCAGTAAACTCAATTCACTTGACGATGACGATGATGAAGAGCCAACGCAAGTGGCACCAGTGCCAATTACGAATCCCCAAAACCCCAACCCAAATCCAATCCCATCCCTATGCCAGCATCCACACCTAGCTTTCCCACTGTAAAGCGCCTTGACCCAACGGGCAGGCAGAGACGTTTTAGGATGTGTATAGATCTTTGTGCGGCTGAGGCGAATTGTGTGAGCGTGGATTTTGTGGCGAGGATAGAGGACCATAGTTTGAAGACTCGCAATTTGTATTTGAGTGGGGGTGAGGAACTCCAAGTGGGACTTGTGCCTCTAGTAAGTCTTCTTTATTTTTCAGTAAAGGGAGAGAGGAGGGTTCGTTAATTTAGCCCATAGAGAGTGTTGATATGGCGTATACGATTGATCCGTCAGAGCAGGAGCACCCTGATCAGGCAACTCTGGCTTGTGCTTTTGATTGTCCTTTGGAAATGGGATGGCTGTGAGTCTCCCTTTCCAAGATTTTAAGTCTTTCGAAGTAGAGAACTAACTTGATGAGTAGTTCGATAGCCAGTTTGGCGAAAGATTCTATGTAGGCTGCGGAATGAGACATGGTCCTGTCGTAATTTGCGCGCCAATCTTCTCTGTTTCCTCTTAATTATAGCCACTAACAAACTCTAGTCAAGGATACGCAAGAATCCTTAAAAGACTGCATGGATGATTGTGCTGCCTTAACACCCTGTCATAGCATAGATTACCATATCTCAAATTTTTTTAAAAAAAATATGTTATAAGTTCTCGCTAAGTGAGGTAGAGGAAGAACTATTTGAGGGCGCATGTCTAATACTTTACAGATGGCCAACATCACGGTGAGCCGACTACTGTTACTGGGCTTCGGCGCATTCACTTGGCTGTGATGGTGCTTGCTCTCAAGGAGGCTCTTGTAGAAAGTAACTACTGTTTAAACAAATAGTCAGCCATGAGATGCATAGTTAAACAGGGTTTTCATTCTTTACAATGGGCATCATTTGACAAGATTGTAAGGTATAGCAATTAGAGACAGATTATTGTATTCTGTAACTTCTAATGTTCTTGTATAATTCCAGCCATTTGACAAGCACAAACCGACCCTTGTTTAAAAATAGCGAACTTGCACCCGGAGGCTAGCTATTTCCTGCTGATAGCCAACACGCAGGAATATGATCTATTTCAGATGGAGGAACTAGCAGAGCAAAATGACTGACAGACATTTCAATTTCGGGGGCTAGTGGTTCGAAGGTAAGGCGCTTGGTGTTAATCTCTGATAGTATTTTCAAGGCAGGTATCTCTAAATCATCGACATTCAGTCTGGTAATGATCTCTATTAGCAGGTATTGAGAAGTTCTTTCGTCTGATAAAAGGGTAATATGGAGTTAATGAACCAAAGGAACTCTATGTAGTCATTTCATCAATTTTGGTCTACGTGTTCCTTGGAACCTTATTAACAAGTGAACGCTGAAAGTAGTAGCGGGGGAGTTTTTTTGGGTTTGAGACTACAGACTTCTTGTTAGATGACTACACAGTACAGCTAAATGTTAAGTCCAGGAGGAACTCGAAAAAGTTTCCCTGGCCCAATTCATTTTTTAAATGTGAACACCGCAGAAGTACGTACTGCTGAAGGCTAGAGTTTAGAAATCCGATGCTTTGCTCCATCTAATATGGGACATTGGTAGACTCTCAGATGGTCCTAGGGTAGTGTTAGTTCATTTCCAAGTTCCGGCTCATCCAGGGTAGAAAAAATCTCGGCCAGGGTGGAGTTGAACTAGTGAACCTTGCATTTTCTCTACCCCTGGCCGAGCTTTTTTCTACCCAGAAGACGATTTCAGTTTGCGGGAAGCAGCTCGTACTTGCAACTAGAGAAGGGCATGATTTGGCTTATTAGGAGAGAGCTACATTATAGTGGTTAAATACAATTTAGACGATGGATAGCCCTGGTTCTGAATAAGGTCCTTTTACTCTCTTAGGAACGTGCAGTGGTTAAATCCCATTTGCCATGCATTCTTTTTAAAGGGGATATTTCTGTTCTTAGAATCTTTCTTTACCATCATCTTCTTTGCTAAATCCAGCATTATCATGTTCCGCAATAGAAGTGGTAGAATCACATAAAAGAGGTAAATATTCGGTATGCTGTTTGATAGTTGAAATGGAATTTCCACACTCAAAGGACAGACGAGATTAGATAATACGGGCTTGTGACAAGATAACAGTATTTAGACAAATATAATCACACTACCCAGAAGTACAGTATCATACACTGGCTAGTCCTCATGGGACATGTCGGCAAGATAGCCTGGATCGGTGCCCAAGCCTGATTCGTAATAATACATCCTCCTGAAATCGTAGTGCCCAAGTTTAAACGATATGGCGCTCATGGAGGCTGGTGAAAGGCAAAGAGTTGTCGTAGAGGTAGTCGGAATAGGTGATGTATCATCGTTTCTCTGCTTGCTCGGCCTCCGGCTTTTTCTCATTATTTTCATCCATAACCTTCTCGTCAGCTTTCTTGACTTCTTCCACCTTATCTTTTCCCCAATTCCAAACTTCCCATATCTGATCAGATATCAAGTCACCATATCCCTTCCCCTGCTCCAAGGCCTCTTTCTCCCTCTTATCTCTCTCCTTCTTCCAATTCGACTTCTCCCCTCCGAACCAAACTTTCTGTAGCAAACTCCGTTCCTCCTCTTGTTGTTCCTTTTCTAAATTTTGTCTCCGCACCTCATCCGCTATTGCACTTTTCCCCTTCAGATCCGCAGTAGTTTCCCATCCCGACCCAAGATTCGTCTTCATCATTGAACTAACCCTCGATCTGTCGTCCGATCTTAATCCCACCGTACCAAGCACATCCCTCCTCTCCTTCTCCTTCAAATCTTCTAGTTCCCGTTGCCGTAAACCCTCCTGCCTCTGTACCTCAACGCGCTCCTGTATCCGCATAACAACGCTTCGTCCTGTATATTCGCGGGTGAGCTCATTGGCGCCTACGCCCCATGCGCCTACCAGGCCGAGAGTGTAAACATCGAGCTTGCGTGGTGGGAGGGCAATGAGGATGGGGCAGGCCACAAGGGCGACGACAGCGACCGCGGTGATTGTGCGCTGTTGGGTAGGTGTGAGACCTTTAGGCTCTGTAGATACGGGTTGATTTGTAGATATCGACATTATGGTTGTATGACGTGAAATACGGATGTATTGCGAAATAATTTAATTAGAAAAGGATGTACGTTGTCGTAACGGCATTTCGTAATAAAACTTTCGCTCTTAATAACCTCTCACTCTCATAAAGGCGAGGAGAAAAATCATGGCTATGGTAGATGTTGAGCCCAAATAACAAATTCTTTTGATGTAGCTTCAATCCGAGGCCTTATTACATTATATGCCGAGGTGCGCCCGACCGGACAAGGGTTTTCCCGTTTAATTATATATATTTCCAAATAAGCACAAAATTGATAAATACACCTCAAGTCAGGTTGCCAGAGTGGTTAATGGGTATGACTCGAACAGTCTTGTGAAAGAACAATTAGTGATCATATGGTTTCGGCCGCGCAGGTTCAAATCCTGCACCTGACGATTTTGTTTTTGGTTGAAAATAAAAAATATAGAGATTGTCGAAATACAATTTCATTTTGGTTATGGTTTTATTTTGGAATGGTGTATATCGGCAAATTTTTTGGCCAAGTTCCTTTCCTTTGTGTAATATTTCTTCAAACAAACGAATGTTCTCCTGTCTTGTTGACTATTTACAAGTATGTAGCAATAGGACCGAGTGCCATACCGATATAGATAGCATCAGTGGCGAGGCCGCTGATTGTTATGAACACCAGAATCCAAATGTCGTAAGCTAGATTAAAGGAATTTTTTGATATTTTCAATATCCGAATATCAATTCCTCCCTGAAGAACTATATTCGGTATGCTGACTCATCAAATGGCCCAAGTTCTGTTTTGCCTATGAACCTCCTTTCCCTATACTTGCATGTATCCTAGTTTTGTCTACTCAATTACGGGGGACTGATGATTTAAGTGTCTGATTTTCAACTTGCAGAATTAAAGATATGTTAGGGATTCCCTCACCTACATCAACTCCTACAGATATACTAGAATGTCCTGGATTCCTTATTCCTAATATGTCCATCGCGCTACATCTCGCGGAATTGCTAACGTGGACAAACTCATTCCCGGCATCAAAACTGTTTCCCATCACACTTTTTCTCCGTATACGTTGTTACTCCCGCAGGTTGTAATAATACCCACCATGAACTTGAAGAGACCCACTAAACTGATACAACGATCGAAGCTATTGGGATATGACATCTCACAACGCATAATAAAATCATGTCTCAATCTCTTATCTTCGCTGACCATTTATGATCAAACCGATGATGAACCTCGGATAAACTGGATGGAAGGTTGTGCTTACCAGTAGAAACCAAGTTGGCCTCTTAATTGCCCTCTTCTGGCAATCTGGTGTTGTCCCTGCTTATTTATATCGCACAATAAATCTCACCACTCAGCAAACCTGGCATAAATAATATTAGGAACATTTCACAGGTCTTGCAGACAGAATGGGCCCTATAAATTTCTACCACCCTCACATTTTTACTTGTGAACTATTGATTATCGTCGTATTCGTTCTCTAAAATTTTGAGGGGAGATCTATTTCTGATGCTTGTCATATCCATTCACTTAGTCATCTATCATGAATGATGCTTCAAATGTAACCAGTGCCGAAAATTTTCTAACAGGGAAGTGGCAAGCGTACACAACTCGACGTTGTGCCTTTCCTGTGGAGTGGATGTCGCCATTTTCGAGGCCACAATTAGGCCGATCGTGAAAATCCTTCAGAAAAACAATACACCCACGAGAAAAAGCCGGGAAAAATTTCAAGTCAAGAGTTCGCGATCTCCCATGATGTTGCACTGTTCTACTCTCTTGCAGTTGAAGCTCCACTCACGAAAAGTAAAACAGCAACAACGGTAGTTGCGCTTTCTATTATCCAAAGGAATTACTCAATTGTTAACCACACTTGGAAGTCCCGAGTGCCATCACCTCTTTGTTTCACTGAGTTCATCGCATATCTTGTGAGCAAGTGTTACGTAACGTTATCAAGAGTCATCTGCGTTCTCGTCCCTCACAACTTGATACCTCCTAACCTGTCTTACTAGCCAAGATGTCCACGGCAGTTCGAAAGACTCTGTATCGGTATATATGTGAGGATCGAAGTTGGAGACAGCTCTCAAAGTCGAACGGCTTATTCAAATCAAAATGAATTTGTTACTACAAGCCATGAGATTTCGCCACTTCTTCGTGCGACAGGTTAAGAATCGCCTGTCCAAACCCACATTCCTCACGATACACCGTGCTTATTTCATATCAATGTGTGTAGTATGCTCGGTCATTTTCTGGTTGGCTACTCGACCAGATCGTAGTATTCGATACATCGATAGTGTGTTCATGGTTGTTTCAGCACTCACTGGTACCGGGTTAAGCACACTGAATCTAAGTAGCTTGAACACTGGCCAACAAATTCTTATGTTCCTGTTGATGTTCTGTGGAAGCCCAACACTTATCAGTGTGTTTGTCGTTTGGATCAGACGTCGAGCATTTGAATCTAAGTACGCTCATGTCGTTCAGGGTAAGAAAGCTCGCCAAAGATCAACTTCTAACCTCCAAAACTCGGCTCATAACAATTGCTCAAATACTCCGGCCTCTCAGCCACATCCTTCTAATCCAGGACCGGCTTGTGAACAAACTCAAAATGAAATATACGGTACTCCTTTAAATTCTTGTCGTTTATTACGCTAACTGGCATGTGTAGTGACTGTTCTCCCTGACCACAATTTGGAAAATGAAAAGCCTGCTGCTACTTTGAACATCTGTGAGAACACCGCTATTCAGAGACAAGGCCCAAACTTACCATCAAAGCACCCTCAGAACACTCATCATCGAAAACTCCGACTGCAGCATCACTGCTAAGTACATTGCGAGTGTTTGGACAAGCAATAGTTGGGCGAAATTCGCAATTCTATGGCCTCACTCGTGGAGAGAGACAACAACTTGGGTGTATCGAGTACAAGGCATTGAGGCTTTTAAGTTATCTTGTCCCAATATACCTAGTAACATTTCAGGTGCTGGGATCAATTGGCTTGTCCTGCTACATTGCACTAAATCATCCAGCAATTGCCCTCGAAAATGGAGTCAATCCATGGTGAGTCTTATGGCTTGATTCCTCTTTTCATTGCTAATCGGCAATTCAGGTGGGCTGGAATATTTGACGGTGTATCAGCGTTCAATAATGCCGGTATGTCCTTGCTTGATGCAAGTCTGGTGAGTGACTACACGTCCAATTACCTACAAATACCAATCTTTTCTCGATAGGCACAATTTCAAACATCCTACTATATGTTGCTCACCATAACATTTTTGGCACTTGTCGGAAATACAGCGTGAGTTCGATGGACCTCGAGAGGATAGACTGACTGAGATGTAAAGCTATCCGATCTGTTTACGCCTGACACTCTGGACGATGGTCAAGCTTCTTCCTAAGTCTGCAAAGTATCGTGAATGGGGCGATATCATCAAATTCATTCTCAAATACCCTCGTCGAGTGTATACGCATCTGTTCCCATCAACACCAACGTGGTACCTCCTTGCTGTCTTGTTTCTGTTCAACGGAATAGACTTCGTCGCTTTCGAGACATTGAACCGCACAAACCCAGCTATCACATCACTTTCACCTATAATTCGCAATCTAGATGGGCTAGTTCAAACAATTATGATCAGGACAACAGGTTTCATTGTCATCCCAATTTCATCTCTCCGAATTGGCCTGCAAGCACTCTATGTTCCTATGATGTTTATCTCCGCTTTTCCTGTCGCGATTACGATGCGAAGCTCAAACGTATATGAGGAACGCTCCTTGGGTATTTACGCTCATCAAATCCGCCAATTAACCGAGGGGAATAATGACAATAGAAGTCTCCTCAGCAATCACTCTCGCACGCGGATTTATTTCTTACGCCAACAAGTTCAGTATCAACTGAGTCACGATTTTTGGTTTGTTCTAGTCAGCGCGATTTTAATCATCTGGATCGAAACCGGTAGCATTGATGGCGACCCTCTCACGTTTTCCGTTTTCAACATTCTGTTTGAAGTTGTGAGTGCATATGCATGCGTAGGGTTGTCAATCGGACTTCCAAATCAAGCATATAGTCTTTGCGGAGCATTTCACACCTCGAGTAAGATTATTCTTTGCGTGTTGATGTTGAGAGGAAGGCATCGAGACCTGCCAGTGGCGATCGATAGGGCAATACAACTACCGGACAGCCTTCTAGCGGATAGCGACAATGATGAGCAAGAGCAGGCACAGGCACAGGCGATTCAGAAAGTGACGCAGGAGATCAGAGCCAATGAGGTTTGAGTAAGTGGGAAAGTGCAAGATATAGGGTTCTTGGGACAAGCACAGCATTCTAGATTGAATTTACCCATTCCTGCGGGCAACATGTAGATACATTTCCCTTTATCCCATGAAGGATTGAATCCAGTCATTCTTCAATTATCCAATCCTGCGTCATTATTCAATACTCATCACAACTAATGTAATTTCGTTAACTTGTTTCGGTTCTTCTCTTCACCAAAACCTTGGCTCCGCTAGGCACAAACTGTGCTTCCGCTTTCCAAATCGTTTCTGGTCTCCTGCCGTTATAAGCTTCTGGAAACTCAACGTCATAATTTGTCAATATATATGCAATCATCATCTTCAACATGAAATCCAACGGAAATCTACCTGGACAAGCTTGTCGGCCATGACCAAACTGCAAGTTCGTTGCTCCAGTCGATACAAAGCTTAGACTTGAGCCATTCTCCCCTTGCAAAGCCACCTTCTCTCTGAGACGTGCGAACCGGAATGGGTCAAATTTCAACGGATCAACAAAGCTATTTGGATCGGTATGAGCGGGATATGCTAGGATTGACACATCTGCATGTTTAGGAAGGAGGATTCCGTCTTCCGTCCATAGGTTGTCGACCATCACCCGTCGCATTAAGCCTCTGTTACCAAATGAGTGAAGTCGTAACGTTTCCCGGATTATGGAATCGAGTTGTACCATTTTTGCGAGGGAGGATTTGGACCACACTCCGCCTGCTGCGCGAAATTGAGCAATTTCTTGGCGGAGGATAGAAATGGTATTGTATTCAGGGTCAGAATCAAGAATATTAAGGAGGATGTTGGACATGGAAATTGAGGTTTGATGGCTTGCACCGAAGTGGGAGACCGCGACACGGATAGACAGTTCGTAGTGGTTAAGTTCTGTGGGGCGGTTTTTGAGGGCGTATTGGAGCATTTTTTGGAGATGATCAATGGGCTGATCTTGAAGTTGGGTTTGGAGAAGTTTCATTCTTTGCTCGAACTGGGGCTTGAATTGTTGTTTAATTCGGAGTAGGTAGTAACGGATCGGCAATGCAGCGAGTGGAGCAAGGAGGGGCCGGAGACGCTTTGGAAGTGATCCCATAAGGCCTGCATTGATGACGAAAAGTTCACCGTAATTAATGATGGCGCTTTGGTATTTCTCA